AAAAAAATGTGGCAGTAATTGACTATACGCCTGGATGTTGGCCACCGGGGCGAAGGTCAAAGAGGTCAACTGTGAGTTCAGCCTGAGTTGTTACTCACCTAATCTTGACAGAGTTTAAGACACAGAGACTTAAAACTGTTTCAAGGTGGATTTAAAAACAAACAAGCCAATGACTGAGTAAGACAGCTTTCTAAAATACGTACAGAGTTTGCCCATATCTGTATTACACAATGCTGGAGAGTGACAGGGCAGTGAGTCAGGGTAGCACCTCCTAAAGCCCCACTAGAGTGAAATATGGCCCAGATTTAAAAGAGGGGTTTCAAATTCACCCTTCATTGTCAGTTTCAGATAAGAAGGCGTAAGCGTATTTGCTGGTGCTGGTTCCAAGGTGGCTTGTTATACACCAGAAGGTGCTGATTTTTGGGGTAGGTGGCGGTGGGCAACAACCCCCATGATCTAGTCCATTAAAGTGGTCTGAAATGGATCCTGAGCGTAAGGGATGCATCCCAGAAGCCTGACCGCCCCAGTATCACCATCACCCCCAGCTAGAGATAAGCAGAGATGTGACAGAGCTCTAGCAGTAAGTGTTTTATACAGTCCAGGCCCACCATTTTCTGACTCTCACAGTGTCTCTCAGCACCACCACTGCTGCTGTTTAGAAAAAGATCAAGACCCCCCCTTGGAAAGGCTAAATGGGAAATGTCAGAAAAGTGGTAAACATTTGCAGTAATCTGTTACAGTGATAGCAGGGAGTATCATCTTGAGGGATTATCCTGTTCTTGGCTCTAAAGCGATGGCAATTTAGCAGCTTTGCCATGATAATGTACAGAAGTATGTTTGTTGGGGATCTCTGCTGATGGATTCTGTGGCTTTTTGCCTGTGATGCTTTCCATGAAAATAAGCACACGCAGCGTGGTTCATTCAGTAACCTAAACATTTGTCCCTCTGCATGATGAACAGTCACAGTCGCACTTAAAATCTGCATCCTGCTTTGTGTTGTACAGCTTGTCATTTATGTTCTAGACAGCCTAAAGCAGCTTGTTTAGTGATTAACAGCCAATTGTACCTCATAAACAGTTTAAACGGACCAGTCTGTACATGCAGTACACTGCATTGCGAGGGTGCAGTTAAGGTACTAATGGTAGCATCATTAGGCAGTTCACATGAAGTCAGACTTGCAAAACACACCACCTTAAAACCTTTATGCCTCGGTGTAAAGTAGCACTTAGGGAAACATAAACTTGTGTTTATGTGACTCTCACTTAGCAAACAGTGATTTTGTGAAACCAGAGGCTAAATTTAGCAGTGTCTAAAAACAGAGCCTGGTATTAATGCACCCTCTGGAATGTCTCTAAAAAGCAAATTTATTTTTATTTTGATGAAAGGTGAGTTTTATATAAATTCCTTTCTCTTTTTGAAGTGTGAAATGTTCACACTGAGATGGAAATTGACAAAGGTTTCCAGCTAGAAGTTTTTAGGTGAGACAAACCTTCGAAAGAAGAAAAAACTTGTTCTTTCGCAACCAAATGAAAAGCTAAATTTAGAAGTAATAAAACACACTATTCCTCTCTTCAATACACTCAACTGTAGCCTTATTTAGTCTGGTATGAGCAGTGGCCTATAGTGGCTAATGTTAGTAAACCTAAATCTAGGTAAATGACTTTATGACTCTTCTTCACTTGTGCCACTGTTGTAGGCTTGTAGCTTCCCATCATAATTTTTCACTTGTGGCCACAGTGACTGCTGTTTAGCAATAGTTACATAGATGCAGTTTAAAGATTATGTGATCACTTTAAGTCTGAAACCTTGTTTTGTGTTAACTACATACTTAGATATACTTACTGTACAGTTAAAGGTGACCCCCAGTTTTTTTTTTTTATAGTTTACCCTTACATTTGGAAAGCTCCACGTAGATGTTTACCAAACCATAAAGCTTTTAAGCCAAGTATACTGGTCTGAATCCTGGTTCTGATCTAATTCTTATTTGAGAAACACAAAATTACCACTTGGTCCTGTCATCTCATTGGCATTTTGACTCTATCTCTTGGTGAAAATACAAAGCAAATGTGTTGAAATAAATTGGTTCCAATTTCAGGTCAACTTAAAATAGAAGAAATCAGTCACTGGCATAAGAACCTCATGTCTTAGCAGAAAATAAAGTACCACAACCTTTGCATTCTTATTATGCACTCATATTTATTTCACCATTCCAATCTCATTCCCAAACGACTCAAATTTGCATTTCATTTCTGGCAATGAAAAAGAGTATTTGCTGACAATAGTTAAAATTGGATGTCGCTGACTGGAAAAGCACAGCGTTTAACTGGAGTCGAGGTTAGAAACCATTCAAATAACCTAACACCCACGTAGATCTATTTTACGGCTTCCCGAGTAGTGATTTTACATGATTGGCTGTGTTTGTGTAATCTTGTTCCTCCTTGGTACTTTCCATTTATGACCCCCACTAGATCTGCCATGAATCAGCTACATTCCCTAAGAGACAAACCATGAAGGGATCACTGGGCTTAAGTTTCCGTCAGCTATCTATCTGCCCCTTCAATGCCTTTTCTTTCAAGGTGACTTACACTGTGCAAAGCCTATCGCCGTCCTCTAAAGGTGGGCACAGTAATCTCAGCGGATGAGTAAACAGCAGTGAAAAGCTTGTGTTGTAAGATGTACAAAGCAGTGAGATTTAGATTGAATTTTCAGTCTAAAAGGATGTAAAAAACAATCTACACCATCCACAGTTCAGAGATTTTACATTTCTAGATTCACTGAAAACTATTTCCAAACACAGTCATATTCTATGGTTCATTATCAGGCAGAGTAATCCATCATTACTTGAGCTTTGTGGATTCCAAACTCACTATTTTCTTTCCAATTCCTCAGGCCAGACCATTGGAGGCTATGTGGAAAGTGACACTTATATCAGCCTTATGTAGTTCACAGTTGGGGGAAGCTGTATTATGCCTGAAATCCATCCCAAAAAAATGTTACATTTCACTTTAATATCATTGCCAAGAAAGGATATTACATTGAAAAGCTAATTCGACTTGGCAGACCTGTGCAAATGGCTGAGAAACTGGTGGTTTCTGTTGAAGAGCAAGACTGTTTCATTATCTATCAGCCTGGGATTGATTGAAGTGTTGCAATTCATTTATTCTTTATAAAAGCAGGAAAATTGATATTCTTTTTCTGCAACTAGAAAAATCTGCAGTATAAATATTAACAAGACTTTATTGTGCCAACAGATACATATAGATAAATCTTTCTGTTAATTTTAGAAACCTTATGGTCGCCCACATGGGTCCAAAACCTATATATGCCCCTTCTTCTGCTGTGGCATTTTGTCAATCTATTAAATCACTGATCTAATCATTAGATCAATATTAAATTGGACGCACTCCAACAAACAGTTGTCAGGTCAAGACCATAACGGAAAGCCCTGAAAAACTGGAGATCTTACCAACCCTTTACTGACTTTAAAAATTCACCCCGAAGTATTGCAAGCATAAATGGCAAGCTAGTCTTATGGCTAGTGGGAATTACTTTGTCTGATTTGTAGTATCTGCTCAGGCTTGCAGCCTTCCGTATGTGAGTCAATAAAATGTGTTAATGTCTGTTTGACTGGACTGTCAGTGAGGGTAAATCACCGGGAATCAGAACATGCTAATGGCAGCATTACCTACTGAGGGATGGAAAGATGAATTGAGATATATGCTGTCACCAGCTGCTTTCTGTAGAGGTATCTTATAACTCACAGCAAAGGATTTCCCCCCACAGACTAGTTTCTCAGTATATGAGCAGTTTAATTCGGCCTACAGCTACAGTACAGGGTGGGAACTGTTGCTAAGGACACTGATTTGTCTTGGCTGATATGTCCCTGAAAAATGGCTGTTACAGACCATTGGTGAGCCAAACCAAAACTCACAACATCTTTTAAAGATCAAGTGAATGAGAATTTCCCCACTGGCCGATTATTGAATCATCTCAGTGTGTGTTCAGACTGAGAGTAACTGAATGAACAACTGGACACTTAAAATCCAATTAAGTCAGATTTAATGAGTTAATCTAATATACAATGATCCAAAAGACTGTACAAATAAGACACAAGGAAACAAAGTACAAGAAAATAAGTAAGACTTAGTAGGGTTAGCTAAACCTACCTGTCTGAGTCAGTAAAGGAAAGGAGGAAAAACTAAAGTAACCTTTAATTGGGAAGAAAGAACATAAAATAAAGAATCAAAGCACAGTGCACAGAGGGTCCATATAGTTAATCCATAAGAAAAATCTTATCCCACATGCATTTCTATCTCCCTCTTGTTATTTGTTTGCATTTGGAGATGAGGATGAAAGAGTTTTTTCCAGTCAAGCTTCAGTGAATATCTGTTCATCTCTGCCTATTCCCAAGCTAACCACCTACATCTGGCTGTGCCTGTTTTGGCTAAACCAATTTTTCACTTGAGCGCCCCTCAAATGATGGAAAAAATAAGTTGCATGTCTTCACATCTACATACATCATTTATTTCTTAGAGTTGAAAGCTGCCTGATGTCAGCTGTAAAAAATGTTTTCTTTTTACCATTTTTCTGTACTGTGATCACAGGCAAAGAGCTGAACATCAGTTAATTTAGTTCCAGATTTACCAGGCCAGTGGGACCAGTTATATCAGCAGCTTATGTGCATCACATCCTAATATGGCATTTAAGTTTCAATGTCTTGACATCAATCTAAAGGCAAACTGAGCAACTGTGTTTCAAATGATTCATGATATATTGTTTTTCAAAAGACTTCTACATTCATACATGAAAAGAGCAAATGTACAAGTATACCGTAGAATGTGCTGTTTTCTGTATGTTTTTGATTAAACATGCAATATGCCGACTGGGAAACACAGTAATATCACTCAGTGACAACTACACTATCTGGCGATTCTGTACATTTGTAAATCCCTTTTTCCTTGTGAATCTAATCTGTTTCTGCCACCTTGTTTTTGGTGCAGATTGAGAACTACATCAAAGAGAGCATGAAGACGGAGATGGCTCAACTGCAACAGAGCGCTGTCCACAACCACACAGCAGCCATGTTGGAAATGGGCACCAATCTTCTTTCTCAGACGGCTGAACAGACACGCAAGCTAACTGACGTTGAGACACAGGTAACACCTAAAATACACATAAAAAACTTAGATGTGTCCCAGTCAATTCTCTCTCTACGTCTTTCTCATGCATATATCCACTAACACACAAAGGTTACAGAGATCTGGCCAAAGACAATACTGATGCTATTAAATGCCTGTCCCTTCTTTGAGTTCTTTGGCTCAGCTTCATTTGAGTGTTTATATGTAGAAGTTTGAGGAGGAGGTGATGGAAAGTTGTGATGTTAGTGGTGGGCAATTTTTGCCAAAACACTAAAAAAGATAACTGTTTGCAGAGTAAAAAAAATAATAATCATAGCACAGATGTATATCTCCTAAGTATTGCCATGTGTTGGGTGAACACTTGACAAAATAAAAACAATGCTGATTGTTTATATGTGCCTCAAATGTGCAGTGTATTAAATACAGCCTTGTGTTTTTGGTCTCTTCAGGGTTTAGTGTACATGTGCATGATATCAGCTTACTAGTAAAGAGGCATAATATTATCTTTATTATTTTTTTAATTCTGTATGTCTATGTATTTTTTTTATCATGGCAGGTTCTGAATCAGACATCCAGGCTCGAGATCCAGCTGCTGGAAAATTCCCTATCCACTAACAAGTTGGAGAAAGACTTAATGGTCCAGACCAATGAGATCAGCAAGCTGCATGACAAGAACAGGTAAACAGACAAGACTTCAAGCAAACAACATAAAACACACCGGATACCAACCATACTGCGGAAAATTGGACAACGATAGACTGAAGGAAATAAAGATGTTCCACTGTGCAAAAAACAGTTTTCACTCTAAGTATTGCTGTTCTCTGTGGGATTGCGTAAACAAAATCAAAAGCTTGCTACCAGCTCTCATTGACCATTTTCCAAAGCAATATTCAATTGTATATACAACAGCATAATAGGAAGCTCACATTGTCTGTGATGTCCAGTAAATCAGTCTGAAATGCATGAGGCTATGCTTTCCAGGTTGGACCACTGAGCATTTGTTACAAAATCAGGCAATTAAAATGTGGCTTTTGGATACATTTTCATGTCTCCAAATCTTGTTCTTTATAGTGATTGGTCCTGTGGGATTGTCTCCGATGATGTAGTGTTTAAAAGGGTTTGGTCTACATGTCTCATTGCAGTATCCATAGAGACTCCATGCAATCACTTTGAAATAAAATGTACATGCATAGTCTCTGGTGATTCTGACTTTTAAGTTATTGTTGAGGCTTACGGAGATAGATTTCTGGGGGCAATTTCCCTAAGCTTCAGCAATTTTGACATTATTCCATCTTGTACGTGTCGTCTTTTATTTTTCCTTTACTAAATCTATAATCGAGGGAAACATGATTAGTTAATGAATTTGATGTCAGCTTATATCATCTTTCAGGCATTGGATTTCACAGTGGTAATGTTTATATACTGAAAGGGCTTATTCATTTACCACAGATGAGTCTGCAGTGTGCGAGATGAAGCTATGTGGAGAACACATAGCAACCAAACTAGAGACGTCATTATTTGTATTTCTGTCTAATGGGAACTTCTTGTATTTGTGTTCCCATATTGCTCACTGGGAAATAGTAGTGAGGGGAGCATATTACCATATTTGTGGTCCTTCATTGGCCATAACAAATCATTTTTATTAATTTAGATTTAACCTGACCCCTATTCATGATGCCTTCATAAAAAAAAAAAATGAAAAAGATACACATTACATAACCGATAAATTGTTGGTAACATCATAACAACAATTTCAAAACAATATTCAATCCATTTAAATCTTTGAAAACAAAACTCATTCCAGTGGATTTGGATGCCCCGAAGGATGATAATAATTAACAACTTCTCCATCTTCCATAACAAACTTTTCTTGACCTTTTTCCTTGTCCTTAGCCTCCTCGAGCAGAAGATGTTAGAAATGGAGATGCGACACCGTGAAGAGCTGGAGACGCTGAAGCAGGAGAAGGGAAGTCTCCAGGCCCTGGTGGGGAGCCAGAGCGGGGTTATCAGGGAGCTAGAATCCCAGCTGAGCCGGGCCACAGGGAACAGCACGGCCCTGCAGAGACAGCAGCAGGAGATGATGGATACCGTCCATAACCTGCTCAACCTCTGCTCCAAAGATGGCGGTAAGCTCACTGGAATCAAAGTCTTACATACTCAGAGGTTTGGACCTGTTTCAATAAGTGTAAATATGGTCTTACACAATAGCCATCACGTAATAGTACGTTCTGGCAGTATAATGCTGAGGACGGAAAAGAAAGTCACAACCTATTAGAAGTGTAAGCAAATGTTAAAGCAAGTCTGGTCGCCTAAGAAACCCGGTGAGAATTGATTGAGCCCAGCAGCTCAAAGCTGGACCAATCAGTAAAATACCAGGAACAGTTTAGATGATGACAACAACAAACAGGGCTACGTTTGGAAGTTGAACAAAGTGCCAAGTAATCTCGAACACAAGGATACAGAGCATGATTTACCAACAGCAAGGCCCTAGGTGTTGGTATTCATTAAGGTGTAATTTGTGTAAAATGGTAGCGTTGGTCAGTCTGACTGTGTGTCTGTTGGTCCAACAGCTATTGGATGGATTGCCATGAAATTATGTACAGAAATCCATGGTGCTCAGAGGATGAATCCTCCTGACTTGTCCTCCACTTTACGACCAAATCCCATCAGCATCAGCTGTACTTTGTAAAGCTGTGTAAAGTGCTAATTAGGAAATGCTAGCATGCTAACAGACTTTGAAGGTAAACATTTACTTGCTACAAATTAGTCAAAGTACAACCTCACAGAGCCACTAGCATGGCTGCAGACATTTAGTCTTGATTCACTTTGAAACCCTGAAACTAAATCAAGAACATCCACTGGCCTGGTCCAACCAGGCAAAGACAGATTTATGTTTACGTTTCAGTGAAGAAGAAACACTTGTCAGTCATCTGTTGGTTGGTTATAGACCCGTCCAAATGTTGTCCAGCTCCACTAGTGATGACCCTAACCAAAGAAAATGCCTACTGACCCTTGCCAAACCACAATCTGCAAAAGAAAGTTTGTGGATTGGCTGTGCAACACTTGAACTGTGAGGCAGCACTCAACTTGTTTTGGATTACTTACTTCCTCTGGTCAGATCTCACAGCTACAACATTTTATTATCCACATGAAATTATGATGACACCAGTTCTATAAACCATACCCCATACTGAGAGACACAGGGATGTACTGGCTATTAAATTCTGCATCAGTGAGAGCAGCATGAAGAAAGAAACATGGTTCTTATTGTAACTCGGTGTGCTCCTGTTAAAGAGCCTTGGTGCCTCTCATAAACCAGCATGGTGCTCTTTTTTATCGCTTTTCACGCTTTAACTTTAGAAAATCTGTGCATAGTGCTTCACTGAAACGTCAAACATGACTCTAGTTATGAAGTAATAGGCTTATGTTATTCCCCCGAGTCTCTCCCTTCTGTTAATATGAGACCAGGGTTTTCCCTTTTGGCCCTGTGTTTGACCCAGCAGCAATGCAACCTTTCTTGTACGGTCAAACGCAGTGAACTCATTTACCCCTTTCTCGTCCATTTAAACACCAAACCCACTTAATTGTAACATTGGCCTTAAATCCCATTGGTTACAGGAGATTTGACATGAATGTCTGTGTCAGGGGATTGGTTGCAACCTCATTTCCATTTGTGGATTTCCTGCGGAGACGCCTCGAGACCTCACAGTGCTTCCTTGAGGTTTCCCATCAGGCAGGAAACAACAAGGGTATAAAGGGATGTAGGAGTGGATAACTACTTCACATGATTAACACATGCTTTGTATTTATCGTGCTGTTCCCTTTTGTAATTTTAATGTTCCATGCAACAAAGGTCACAGGCCGCCTCTGCTCGCTCTCCATCTGTTTAGTCTGTATTTGTATATGTTACATTTAATTACTAGAGGTCTTCTGAGACCATTTTGGCCTGACTGGTCAATATGTATCATATACATTTTTCATGTTGAGATTCAAGTGTGTCCTGATGCAATAGTTTTGGCTCTATATTTTACTGCCTTTGTAATCTGCCAAGTTTAACTAAATTATCTGTATATTATACTTTTCTGGTCTTTATTTAGTCTGCTATTTTCAGTGTCAGTAGGGTCAAACGAGCAGGGTACCCCAGCCCGTTCCCCTGTCTGTGATTGGTGGCTGCCTTAATGAGAGGTGATAGAAATGGAACGTGCCCGCTGCTGCTCTGTGGTTGGTCCTTTCCTCTTCCATGGTGGCGTTGAAGGTTGAGGCGAGCGTGCGGGTCAGAGGTCAGCCCCTCTCTTCACCCCAGCCCAAATAAGTCAAACTATAATAGCTCCTGCGGGAAGCCCCGTCCAAAGGAGGTGAAGGAGTAGGTAGATCTCACTGATAATCTGACGCACTGCCCCTGTTCTTCAACCGCATTTAAAACACAGAAGCAGCAGAGCTCATGTTCAGGGGAGGGCTTTTGTTTGTTTGAGAAACGGATTAGTGTTTTCATTTGAGGAAAGGGTTAGCATTTCATGCCATGGAATGGCGTCTGCTTGCATTAGGCCCTGTTTTGAAAACTGAGCATTTCTCAAGCATTCACTCAAATCAACTTTGGGGAAGATGACAGATATTTAGAAAAGGGAGTTTTAAAGCTATATCTGTACACTTTTCCTATTTGTCCATGTATTGCTTTTACTAAAATTAAGGTTTCCAGTTTGTTTTCAACCAATGCAGCACACTAGCTGAGGGTTAAGGAGATATTTTTGATGTGGCCAGATGCAGCAGTGGAGCTCTTGTTTAGGTTGTAATCATTATCCAAACCTCATTAGGGTGCAATGAGCCACACACTGTTATTAACAGTAATTGATCTCAGCTTTGGAACACTCTGTAAAAAATTCTGGCTGCTAAATATGATTTTGTTTTACAGTGTTCTATTATCCCACTATATGAATGACATACATCACTTTTACAGCTGCTTACTCAGAGTCGAAGAGAGTGGAATTATTTTAAAGTTGCATGCAAAGCATAAAAAAAATGGCATTTGCAGGTTATAATGCCCCAACACGACAGTATGGTAAACCGCTTCATTAGACATCACTTCACGATCCAGACTAAAGTTTTAAGTGCTGCACATAATTATTTTTATGCTTCACTGACAAGCAGAATGAGTTGACACCTATTGTTGCAAAGACCCTGTAAAGCGTGCAGTTATTACGAGTCACCTCGTTGACCTTCCTAAAAGTATGGGTACCTCTTGCCTTTATTCTATACTAGACTATTATATTATATGTAGCTTTTGCACACATGTTAAATGGAGCAATTATGTTTTAGAGCCTTTTAACAAGGCAAGAGTTGGTCATTTAATTATTTGCATTCACCTGGCCTTTGCAAAATATGCATATATTATAATTAACTTTGTCAGTTATGTTTTAAAAGAAGCATCACAAGATTACATCCATGTTCAACATTCTTTTACAGCACAGACATCATGGGATGGACGTTGGGATGTATGGTTGGGTGTACAAAGCACAGGACTTAAGGTTTGATCAGGTTTAGACTACTACAACATTCGGTTAAGTGTACAGGAAGATTGTGGTTTTGGCTGAATATTGAAAAATCAATGCACTCCTTCTCATGCACTTCAACATAGTGTTGACTTCAATATTGACCCAAGATCTTTCACTAAACTTAATCAAGTTTATTCAGTAAGCAGTAAATATAACCCAAAAAAATGTTAAATTATGAATAAGTTGCAAGGAGCAGTTACTTTTTGGAAAACACTTAAAATACTATTACAAGTGAGGGTTTTACAAATTTACTTTTACATATAAATTCATTAATATGTTGATTAAAAAAACACAATCCAGGGGGCATATGAATCACATATAATGTATTTACTAATGCAAAGTAGTTGTATATGTTGTAATTCTTAGGAGAGTGTAGCATTAAAACTGAGAAAATGTGAGCAATTAATGTCTGCTCTTTACTTAGCAGTATATTAAAGGAGGTAGGATTTATTTTATTAAACAAATATGACTTCATTCTCATGAATCTTGGGACACATTACATGGGGATTTTCACACAGACAACTACAACTACAAAATGTACTGTCGGAATGAACTGGTATTATTTTATAGTGCTTTGCATCTTTCATATATGAATACACCAGAGACATTCATTGGATCTTGTATGGAATCACTTAAACTCTCGACGGCATTTAGAGACTGATTATAGTCACATGGGAGCAGTGATGTCTATAGCAGTCCATTTAGCTCCATTACTCACTCTCTTTAGTTCTAGTATTTTGGCTCATTTGGCAAGGGTACTGATTTATGCAAACACCCAAGCCCTGCTGATCTTTTCACATGAACCCCCTACTGAATATGAGTCCCCACTGAACCACAAAATATTTTTCTGTAAATAAATATTGGGACATAAATAATATTTGTAGAGCTGGGCAGCAAGCTGTTCAAGTGAGCCGCTCATACACTGGAGCATCAAGTCCCTCGACAGACAATCTTATTCCACCAAGGGAGATCTCATAGGCAAAAATTGTGAAATTATTGTCCACACTTTTACAGATCGAATACCAGAACGTTCTCCTCTGACAATGATCTCCCTGGCCTCTAAAATGTGCCCCACCGTCTGCCGGCTTGGGGTAAATTACCGCCTGACAGGGCCACTCTTTGTTGTATTAGAGTCTGGAGTGCGAGGGCCCACTCTGTCAACCTGTCACAGCAGGAGATTCTTGTCGCTGACACTCAATACTTTGTCAAAATGCTCAGATAGTACACCCAAATAAGCAGCCTGCTTCCACTGGGAAGTTCTGAGCTCGTAAGGGGGGATCAAAGCGAAGGCTGAGGATCGCTGACACATTTCACTTTTCCCTGACATCTTCTTTGACTCAACAATTCAAACAATAAAAACAATGGTGTGAAAACTGAGATGAACCCCTCATATGGGAGGAGAAAGGGAGGAAGAAAGGGAGAGGAGAGAGAGAGAGAGAGAGAGAGAGAGAAAAAAGGAAAATCGGAAGGAATTTCCATCAATATAACAAGGGCTTGGAAGGTAAATATAAACCACTTGTTATAACAGGAACTTGAAATTTATAGCTTGTAGTATTTTGTCCTTAGCCCCTTGCTTGGTTTCAAAATAGTGCCGCCATAATTATCTACAGATGGAAATGGATGCAGCTGGTCTGTCAAAGTCTGAGGCTTTCTCTCGGAGTGGGAGATCATCTAGTCAATGAACTTCTTTTCTCTTGCTAATAAGTGAGTCGCCCTCAGATATTATCTGGCTGTTACAAGATACTCACAGTGAGACTTTACCGATCAGCTTCTGACTCAGACTGCTTTTATATTTTCTCCTCTGAGATTTAAAGATCTGAAATATGATAAATTGACCTGATAAGGTTTTTTTCTGCAATTTGTGATTTCATAAAACATTACAAAACTGATGATTTCAATACTAGTCAGACACAAAAGGTTGCATGAAGGGTAACAGTTTGTAATAGCATGGACTTTTTTACAGTGCCATTCTTGTGTCCGTATCTGGTGTATGTGTGTGTTTATTTGGTCCCTTCTTTAATCACAAAATATTGTAGCACTATAGGGCTGCTCGATTATGGAAAAAATCATAATCACGATTATTTGGGTCAAAATTGAAATCACGATTATTCAAACGATTATTTTTTTAAACTTCAGAAACATGCTGCATTTATTTGACATTTGTCAAAAACACTTTGCAAGGAAGTCCTCAGTTACACTTTTCCCCATAAACATTTGTAAGTCTCCTTTTTACATTGACAGTCATAGTGCACTCTTGCAATCTCTACAAAAAGTTAAATTAAATAAATTAACACACAAAAGATAAGCCATAGAAAAACAATTTGTGTTCTCAAATTTTAGTGCACTGCCACAACATTTGAAATTACTGTTACTGTTACGTGTTACCTGTTCCAACGAAAACAACGTGACTGACTCATGTGCAGTGCATGCTGTGGGGGAGGGACGGTAATACGCATGCGCGAAATACGCAGATTGTGGCTGTGTCCCAATTCAGGGGCTGCATCCCTGAATTGGGACACAGCTTTTTTCTGCAGCGATTTTATTAGTTTTGAGATCGTTTGGCCCCAAAATCGTAATCATGATCAAATTTCGATTAATTGAGCAGCCTTATAGCACTAACACCTGAACTTTGGCATCCTGTCAATCGAAGTCCAAATTCACTCCTCACATGTTTGACATGACAGCTGGCACATGTGGCAACAAAATGTTGTGTGGGTTTTGCAACAAAAATGAATCATTTAAAAAGTCAACATATAGGTGATTATCTTAGCTTAGTATTAAAACAAGAAGCTAGGGAAAGTCTCTTCAAATTTAAAAATGACTTCCTGGAGTCTTGTTGTCACCTTGAGGTTTCCAGGCATAAAGCAAAGACTCCAGGAAGTCACTGTAGCTGTTGTTTGCCAAGAAATAATTCAACATCTAATAAAACCAAATGCCAAATTTATTTTTCTGTTTGTGCTATCTGCTACCTGTAAAAGCTACCTGTTTTACTTCCACTCTTAGATCTATGCTAAGCTCATCGCCTCCTGGCCACAGCTTCAAACTAAACACATATAAATGAGAGTGGTATTGATCTTCTCATCTTACTCTTGGCAAGAAAGTGAATAAGCGTGTTTATCAGAATATCAAAGTATTCCTTCGAGGTTACAGCTCTCAGCAGTGAAGATCAAAAACACATTTTTACCATGGGCTCACTTTACTTGTGCTTGATTTGTCTTTGTATAACTATATTCTAAAATTGTGTAACACTGGTTCCATTATTTCTTTCATATCTGCAGTTGTGCCTAATAGTACAAAGGTTGTGGATGAAGAGAAGAAGTTCCGTGACTGTGCTGACCTCTACCAGGCTGGCGTCCAAAAAAACGGAGTCTACACCATCCAGATCAACCCTCAGGAGACCAAAAAGGTGCGAAGCCGCAATATCTTACAGCCAGCACTCCACTATAATGTGAAAATATCTGCCTTTTCATCACTTCTAGGCTGCTTTCATAGTGGGTTTACAGGTTTTCACTTGTTTGTGTGAGACTCAACGCTCTCCCACTGAGCTAAAAAGACCCTGAGCCACCACTGGACTGATGAGTGTGAATGATGGGCGCTAGCTGCTGCGGGAATATTGAGAGCTGAAAATACCCTTGGCAGCTTTGTGAGTGCGGGTATGGTATGAAACAGGGACGTGATATAGGACACTGAGCTGATCGCCAATTTTGTGTGTGTGTGTGTGTGTGTGTGTGTGTGTGTGTGTGTGTGTGTGTGTGTGTGTGTGTTTTTAACCTCTACAGTATACTTATATACTCTTGATTAATAGGAGTGATGATTTTAAAAGTTCGCAGGTTTTTGTGTGTTGATTTTGAAGTTTGGTGCTGCTGTGCTCTACTTATGAAACAGTCTCAAATAATACCTGCCTCTGACCTTTATAAATAACAGCAAGAAGACTGGCTATATTGGCTATCAATGAAGGACATAAGTAAAGAAACAAACACCAAGGATATCAGTATACTGATTATATTAGCAAACATGAATTTTAATTTCAAATCAACTTTAAAGATGTGTGTGCAAGTGTGTGTGCTTTTTATGCATGTATACCATGAATGATGAGCTAGTATTGGGGAAAATGATTCTGTCAAGGGTACTTCCTTAATTATACCCAGGCTGTGTTTATGTGTGTTCAGCTGTGTGGGCTGGCTGAGGTGAGAGACCTTCTCCACTCCACCCTGGGGTCTCCTCCTCAAAACAAAGAGCAACACCGCAGATAGAGCACCAGCCTTGCATTATCAGCTTACACACACACTGAGGTTCAAGGTTAAGGGCCACATTACACCCAGGACCTCCACTTTGATCCTGCAGAAAAGAGGCTGTCTGATGAGGAACATCTCCAGGGAGTTGGTGAGGGATAAGGAGATGCTGATTAAGTTTGAGGAGGACACAGATATGTCACATTCCCAAAGATGATTCATCATGGAAGCTGGGAAAAGGAGTGTCTGACACCAAATATTTGTCCAAATGACCCTTCATTGTCAGATAATGCCACTGAGAGTCACGTTGAATGTTGGAATCATTAGCTTGCTAGTTATCATCATGACATCACATCTTTTGAATCCTGAAAAATGTACTAAGACCAATGGGTGGTATGAGTGTTCCATAACCTTAATGGTGTGTTTTCCACCCTCCTTTGCTCTCTTTTCAACTGTGTAGGTGTATTGCAACATGGAAACAGCCAGTGGTGGATGGACAGTCATCCAGCGCAGAGAAGACGGCAGTGTGGACTTCCAGAGAACATGGAAGGAGTACAAGATGGTGAGACAAGACAAATGAGTGTACACAGACACTTGTCCGGCATGCAGACTCTCATCCATATCCATTAAAGGCAAGATGATAATGGTGGTCCTTGAAAGTATAGACAGTGAGTCAACACAAAAACCCAAAGGGAGAGAATACAGTCGTCCATATCCATTAGGAATAAATTACGAAACTGGGTGATCAACAAAAAATCCTGTTACAAAAACACACTTCCGCAAAGGGATTTAGACAAATAGAGTGTGCTTTTTGGCCCAAATTGAACATGCTCAAAACTAAGAGGCAGGATTCACTCATCCAAGACCATTTGGAAGACTTTAGCCACATATCATTCATCCTCAGCAACAGCTCCTCCGCTGTTTTTGTATTAGCAATATTGTCTAGGGTGTCTGAGACTTGCTCCACTTATCTGCTGAGGCTTCAATGACATGTTATTCTTCCTCTTTTCCAACAGGAAATTATTATACCTAAATGTAAAAACAACATATTTGTTTAGTCTCTATAGCGCTATGCCAGATGTTTCATCTGTTTGTCATCAAGGAGAAATGTATGCATATTTGCATTGGGAGTGTTAACATATTCAACCTATGCTGTGTTTAGACGGGAAATTGGATTTATTATTGCTGGCAGTTGCATTGCTTGTGTTTGCTGTGGTAAGTCACCTGTGTATACCTTCCACTAGCTGTAAGTTTATTGTCAAATGGACTATGTTCATTCTATCCACTGTAATCTGCTTTATGTTTCCAGTTTAATTATTTCCCGTCTCCACTGCTCTTGGTATACAATTTACCAGTCAATGGGAAAGGGTTTCCAAGACATATAAAGCAGACAACTCCCAAGTTAGATCATATAAAAGCACTCAACTGGAAGAGAACACTGGTTTGAATGGTAAAAAAGAGTGATATTAAAAGAAAAAAAGAGCAAAAAAGACAAAAGAGAAAAATATAAAAAGAAATATGTATAATATATAGAACATATAGATCATGTTCAGGCCTTAAATGTAAGCACCGATGAGACAGACAGTGCTTTGCAGTACAGGAGGGCACACTCATGGATCTTGGCTGACATTTACAGTGCTGATCTAACAGCTTAGCATTCATGTTCTTCTCCTTGAAAAGACTGTAGGTGATCAGTGTTGTTTTATTGTCTTATTAATTTTGTCATTCTTGGTCTCCAAAGGCTCGTGCTCACAGATTTAATGCACTTGGTGGATTTGTAAATCTTTCAGTCAAAACTGAGATGCTGTTTCTTTGTGGGACCATGGAGAGAATTTTGGCAACAGGGATATAGTGCACATGTTAAAATGTGATCTTAAGAATATCTGACGTTTGTAATCACATTACAAGGAGACTGCACATCACAAAGGACAATGCAAGTTGAATCATAATTCACTCTTTCATCTTATCAGCATGTGAAAATGGTATGGCATGTAGAGAAACCACTGCTCTAAGTATCCCACAAGTACTTAAGCAGTTGCCAGGGGCTAAGTGGAAAGCTCAGCTAAATAAAGTGATAGCTGGGAAAAAATTGAAATAGTTACCTAATGTATTGAAAACTGCTGATATAGTTTACTGAAATGAATGGATAACAGTTGAAATAGTAAACTGAAAGTAACAGATAAATTGTTAAATTAAATGGATGAATGGTTGAAACATCTAGCTTCTACCACTCCAAGCAGTATGAAAACAACCTAAACATTGATAATTCAATTGTATGAAACAATTATTTTAACTGTATCTACTATTTATTTAGAATTATTATTGTTAAATAAAATTCAATTAATCCATTCATAAGAACATGCATACATGATACAACTTGAGACAAAAAAGGTTACGAACCACTGTTTTAGTGTTTTGGTCTATCACACTGTAATTCTAGTTGATATTTCTAATGTTCAACAGTTCCTGAGATTAACAGTGCCCAACATTTACAATTACTTCTTTCCCCAGACAAAGTGAGTTTAGCAAGTGTAACTGAAATGCAAACCGAGCACTCAGTCCAACAATATGACTAATCATCTCCTCATCTTTTCTGAGTTGAATGATGTGGATCAGGTTTGCGTGTGAAGGATCACAAAGCACCGGAACTATACAAAGGAAACTGTCAACAGAGCTTGACTCCAAGGCTTTTCTCCAGCCAGGGTTCTTGAGATAAACCACAGTCACAGTAGGAGGCATTGGATCAAGCCGAAAGCCAGTCAGAAGGGAGCATCTCATCAGGAGTGAGATCAAATGTAGAGAAAGGGAAAGAAAAGGGAGAGAAAGTGGTAATGGGCCCCAGTCACTTTCTCTTCCACCCACTCGACAGGACATGCCTAAGGCCAGAGGAATGCCCCATATTTACTTTCCCTCCTTCCATTTTCTCATCACCACACTCGCTCAGCGCAAACACAGACTTCTCCCTGAGTTTGCCCCCCCTCGCTTTCCCAATCTTTAATGGATCAGTCCAGACTATCCTGTCAGAGCTGTAATGTCATCCTGCTTTGTGATATTCCCCCTTGCAATCCACTGCTCTTGCTGCTGTCAGAAGCACTTTGCCTGTGACCGGGAGCCACTCTGATCAAATACAAGATTTACAGTTGTTTGAAGGAGTGTCCGTGCATGCAGTATATATTTTGGGAAAGAAGTCTTTAAGTAATAATGAGTTTAACATGTGTGACTAGAGTGGAAGACCGGGAGAATGGAAAAAGGTGTGTGTCTTTTTCAGCTGGTAGCAATTTAGGAACTTTTATAGATAGGTAAGTCTACCCACATGTAGGATCAAGCCAAAAGAATGCTTAAAACCAGCATAAAATATGTTAATATACAATGTGAGTACTGTGTGTGGTTTTTACTGAAGTCTAGAGAAATTCGGAAGAACGCAAGGATGCTATGAATTAAAAAAAAGTATGTTTATGCAGTACAGAAACATATCTGGATCAGCAACCACATTTCTTACCCGAAACTGTTTGTTCTGATCTAATTTCTGACAAAAAAATAAATCAATAAATACATTTAAAAATTCCTTCCCATTCATTTCACAATCCCCTAGTGTTGAGATCTTATCATGCTAAGAAAAAAGAGGAGATAGCCACAAATAATAATAATGCCTATGATTTTCAAAAAAGATTTTCAGTGTTGTTTCTACACCAATTATTGTGTTTCTCTTCCTTCATTGCAGGGTTTTGGAAGCGTGTCTGCAGAGCACTGGTTGGGGAATGAGTATGTTTACCAGTTGACCAGCCTGAGGCAGTATGCCCTCCGTGTAGAACTGACGGACTGGGACGGACACCAGGCCTTCTCATTATATGACCGCTTCCAAATCGGCAGTGAGAAACAAAACTACAGGTAAAACTGTTCATATTGCTACCAGTAGAAAAAGAGGGGGATAATTGTTTTTTCAGGCCAAGGAACACATACAGCTTTTCATATTGGCTGGTAAACATCCTCAGGACTGGATCTGTTTTTGCAGAATTCAGTGGCGGTTTGAACTGCAGTCACATATTTGCAACACATGTTAAAGTGATACAGACTTCAGGCTGAAATATGAATAAATGAATTAATCTGCAAATAACTGAACCACTTTAGCCACACTATAAGCATGGCAGTTGCTGGGTTCACTATTTGGGTTCATTGTACAATTTTGCACGTAATATGAAATATATATGTAGCAGCAGATGATCTAAATGATAGAGAAGGGGTCCCTTGAGGAAAAAGGTTGGGAACCACTGCCTTAAAGATCCCCTCCATACATGAATTACAAATATTGCTTGGAACAATAATGTATGTTTGATTTTTTTTTTTTTCTGCAAAAACATTTTAATTTCCACATTAAAAGCTAAAAAGAGATAAACTCCTTCTAACTCATGAAACATTTCAAAGTCTATGACAAGTTTAGGTAATTTCTAAAGATTTCCTACTGTAAAGTCCATTCTCAGTGTACATGCACAAGTGGCTTCAAGCTTCTACATCACACTTGCTGCAAATTGGATATTTGGTTTATGACCAACCACCTCCCAAACTAATGACATTCCCATTAGCCTCAGCTGTAATTTGTGTTTAGTGCTAATCAAAAGATGTTAGCGTGCTAGTACATTAAACATCCACATCATTCCTGCTAAACAACAATGTGAACACATTAGCATGACTGTTTTGTTGCATTTTGCTCAAAACACTAAGTGCAGTCTGTGTAGTGAAAGCACCAAAAGATTCAGTACTCTATGTACACAGGATGCATTCAGACACAATATTAAGCATAGGTCACGTTTTGGCAGCCCAAACAAACACTGTAGTTATTTGAGTATAACAGAGACAATAGACAAAGGCGATAGACTCCTTTAGACACACCTTTAGTTTCCTTCTCGCCTTGATCACTGCATATCAGAATATTGTGAAGCTGTGTCTTCAGCTTCAGCTATTCCACTAATGGAAGGAAGGAAGGAGGAGAGCAATCGTATAAGTGAATAATACTTCAATCGAAAGACAAAATGTTCAAAAGTGTCAAGATTATAAGCATGGCCAGTAACTGTAAGCTCTCTAGACACTTCAATCATGTCGTTCCTGTTATGTAAGTCTGTGGCGAGGTTTTTCTCCTTGCAAATTCCTTCCAAACTAAATGTATCGTTTGTCATCGTCTCCTCATTACAAATCTTCCTTTGATTGACGCTTTGTCCTTGTGTGTTGCGGGGGCGAAGGTTTCTGTTTTCTTTTGAGGGGGTTAATGATAACAGGCCTCAAACTATGGCAGATGCTTGGCCCTCTCAGATGTGGAAAACTACTGCAAATTCCACCAAGTTCCAAGCAATTGTTGGCTTCAGAGGAGAAGGTCTGACATCCCCAATTCTGCAGTTTTCACTGGATGGCTGGGTCTCTCTGATAAGAGGTCCCTTTAGTTGCAAAATGTCTCGTGTTCAGCTTTAAATTACGAAATAAGGAACAAGATTATGTTGCTTGAAAGCCTTTACCTCAACCCTTCCATTCCTTGCACCCAAGCTTTAAAAGTTTCAAGTGTCCGCCTACAGCAGGGGGCCGTTGGGCTTGTTGCCATACCTAATCTTTACAATTGTCTTGTGATGACAGGGGTTTCACTTTACGAGGTTTCCGACTTGAGGAGGTTGTACCTGGAGTGAGCTCTGTGGTTTTCTCTGAGGACTGGGAAAATGGATTTCAATCAACTGGAAGAGATCAAGTTGTTTTTTGTTATGAATTTAAAACAAAGTTGAGGTTTTGTGTGACTAGGAGGTGAGGACCCAGTGAAACTACACCTCTAGTTACCTTTAGTCTCTATTTCTGGCTCTTGTTTGAATGCACAGGCACTAACTTCAGGTTTGTCAACATGGCACACAGATATGTAAAGTGCAAGTCCATATATATTTGTAGGGCTCAATACGTACTTGTATACGTACTGTATCTAAGAGAAAGGTGTTTATCAAAATGTAAAGCAAATTTTGCTTCCAACAATCCAACACCATTCAACTAACACACATTTCTATTTGCTTTAACATCATCCTTTCCTGTGTTTCACACATAATTTAACACCTCAAACTTGACCTTTTGTTCTTTTCAATTAGGGAAACAATAATTGTTTTTGTCCCGCTAAGGCAAGCAAAGGACATCCCCTGCCATTCTAGCCTTTTTTGATGCAGGCTCATACTGTTTAGGAGTCCAATCAACATGCTGATCTCTATAAATAGATTTGTTCTTGAAAAATAGTTGTGGTATGATAATCACACATTGCTCCTCTGAAACACAAGCCAAAACAAACCAGATGGCCTGGCCCCAAACAAACCGACGCTGCCACGTTCTTTATTCTTTTGCTCTGGCACCTCACTGCATTTACATGTCAAACAATCTGCGACAAGTTCTCTGAATTGCATTTATTGCTCTGAAACACGAGAGATAGCTGTAAGTGATATGGCCTTTCTTTTAGTTGGTTTTGGATTATTTTCTGTCATCCGTGGTGGTTTACTGGAATAAAGTCTGCGTCAGTGTGAGTCAGACAAACATTTACAAAGACCTCATATGGTACAGTCAATCTTCCTCTGCCGCTCTCTTTCTGTTTCAAACACACGCTGTAAGAACAAAAGCACATAAACAAGGCCATGAACTAAAAGCACCACTTGGAAACCAGGTATTATAATTGAATAGCACAAATCCAACAATGCACACGACTCACCATTTATCATAAATAATATTGACTACCATCCAGGAAATGTTTGTCCTGCTGCCAGCTTCTTGGTTTCATACATACAGTATACTGTATATACATATGTGGAACGGAAATTACTCAAGTTGCAGAGAGGGAGGGAGGTGTGCAATTATCCTTTGTGAAATATAGGGTCCTAATCCTTTAGAAATGAAATCATGTACATGGAATACATGTCATATTTATGCCCAGTGTTCTAAAAGTTTGGACCTGTCATTCATCTTGATTTATTTATTTATCTATTTATTTAGTCATTTCATTCTTGTTGGCTTTGTCCAACATAATACTACAGTCAGATGATATTATACACCATCATTTGAATAATATTTTCAGAATAAGGTGTAATTTCAGTACTTGGGTTCAATTGTAGGAATGAAAACCCTTTGAGATTATTAGGATTTCCATAGCCATGTTATTGTTGTTGTTTACTGGATGTGAAGACATTATTATCAGTGGAGCTGAAAATTAGTTGATTAATTGATTGATCAATCAACAGAAAATTGGAACAAGTTTCTTGTTTTGATAATTGATAAATTACTTTAATAACTTTGTTTTTTGAGATGGTTGCAGTTTCTCAAGTCTGAATGTTTTGCTGGTTTCCTCCTAAGGTAAACTGGATATCTTTAGGTTTCTGATGGAAGACAAACTTTTGAATTTGAATATCTCAACATGGGCTTTGTACAATTGTGATAGGGATTTTCCACTTTTTTATGACATTATATGGGCAAAGCAAATAATTGATTAATAGAGAAATAAAATAAAGTGTAGATTAATGGACAATGAAAATACATAACAGTAATGGCTTAACTATACACTTTTCCAAAACCTATTTATGCACCTCAGGCTCCAAGAACTTACAGGGGGAAAAAACTCTTAGAAGTCAAGCTTTAGAGAAGGGGCAGATCAAAACAGCCACATCAGTGCAATAGCAGCCAAATAAAAGAAGAAATCAAATCACTGGTTACATCTGCACAGTGTAAGCTGACATCAGCAATGTTGTTTTAATGTTGAACGAACAAATCTTATGGACAACACTGTAAGGGGTAAATTTAGGTTGACCAGAGCAACAAAGTTCCCACTGAACCACAACCTCATAAGATTGAGAAATGAGCTCTTTTTTTTTCTTCATTGTGAGTCGGGTCACCATAATTGCAGAGGTTACTGTCTTCATAAACAACAGAAAAAAATTCCCTATCATCATTGCTAATTTGGTTGCTGTGATACAGCATGGGTTGCAGAAAGGAAAATAATAAAAATATAATTTGATGACCTGCAAATATTGTTGTAACGATTGCCATCAGATCAACACATCCAGTTAATAACCCTCATATATCAAAGTTTCTTTGCTGAAAAAATGTGTTGGTGCTACATATCAATATGAGCAGTAAGTCAACCTGCATGACACCGAAAGCAAAATAGCACAGAGACACGAAAAAGCGAGAGGCTAGTTAGAGAAAATACAGATGGAATCAAAAAAGTAAAATAGTGCTGAGTCCGAGGGAAGATATAGCACAAAATGAAGAAAATTGCACGTTACACAAAATTACATTACGTAACAAGAAAAGCCACAAACTGAAATAAACAATAGACAATGCTGGCTTAGATAGACAGTTTTATGCAGATTCTTGAGAATGGGCTTGAAGTTACAGAGATGTTTTGTTTTATTGGGGTCTTTGTACATTTTTCGATGATACAATTTCACAAGGCTTTGTAAATAAATAAATACCAATGATTATTATGTCTCTCAGTCATAGATTAACTGAACGTGTCTTATACAATGTAGTGGTAAGAGTTAAGGACACACAGCTTCTTGCAGTGCATTCAGGAAGAGGTTTAATTTCTCTATGGCCAATGGAACAGAATAATCTAGTAAAATATAAGTAAAATATAGTATTGTATGCATAAAGTCGTATATGACAATCACAGACGAAAAAGATTATCATTGTTATAAAAAGACAGAAACTTAAAAATGACCAGATTACTCAAAATAAGAAGTGCATGTTAACTTAATGTTGGCAAGTTTTTTTGAAACATTTGAAAATCCTGAAAAATTAGAAAAAAAATTGAAGAAGTAACAGTTTTTACATGTCAGAGATGTCTACGTATTGTGTTGCAGAAATATCTACTCTATCTCTAAGTGACC